GATCGTTTCAACCTTGTTAGGCATAGTTAGTGAGGTATTTTCGATATCCTTATCGTTTGATATCATCTGTCACTATATCTGCTATTAAACCTGAACACTCAATTATTTTACTTCTTAAAACCTGCTAACATGTGACAAAAATATAAGCTAGTCAGATAATATGTGCTATTTAATTTCACTCGTTGCTGGGGCCCTGGTTGCTTAGGACCTAGCAGGAAGAGATTTATTTTTTAAAGAAATAAAATATATTTAAGCTTGTTAGCAGTTCTTCTTTTTACCTGCAGTACCAAACATGACCACATGAGTGTGGGAAAGAACATTTCAGTAGCGTAAAAGGTCAGTCTAGGCACCATATCCACTATGTACAAATGTGGTTATGGTACTAATGTTGCACATGCTGTGCCCCAGTATGTTGTCATATCACTTGAAAACATGGCAGCTCCAGACACCAGCAGCACAGGTTGCATGTCTTTTCCTAATGCAGAATTTCCACATACTCATTCATAATATCCATTTCATCCATTTCAATGCAATTTTTGGATTTAAAGTATGCATGATATAGAGTTTCCTCATTAGTAAAAGCAGACTGCCTCTATGACACCTAGTTTGGTCATACTGCAAGAAAACGTTAAAACCAAGAATACAGCCTTATTGTACCATAACCAATACATGGACATGTTGCAGTTATGGTAAACCATTAACTGAAAGACATATAGGTCTACTGGCGCTTAGAAACGTCAGTGAAAACCTTGAATTATATAATATTACTTATAATCAGCTGCTGCTTACTAAATTAGGAGACCCACCTCCCAGTTATGCTGGCAAAATTTACCAGTAATTCTCTGAACATAACTGAACAAAGTAAGCTGCACTAAAAGTGTCAATTTAAAAAGTAACATTTGCTAAAAATGTCAATATAAAAATACATTACGAACAGTATTCATAACAATATAGAAGTTATTGCAGTATAGAGCAAAAATGAAAACAGATGTATAGACAGATTAATGAATAGCAGTCGTATATCAATTTAATAAAGGCCACCTTTAAAAATAAAATAATTTGAATACTGTTTGGTCTTGTTATGAAATATTCTGCCCAGTAATGGATTCTGAAATTTACCTTGCAAAGAATAAATTGTTAGAAATAGGTATCAAATGTAGAAAAGTTTTCATGTGTAGGAATTAATAAACATAATACACCCTAAAAGTACAGGTTGTGCTTAAGTACAAATGATATCTGTGGCTTTAAAACCTATCTCTTAACTCCCTTCAAAAAGAGTACAATCTCCACATGTTAAAAGTACAAAAAACAAGCTTTATTATCAATTAAATATATGCTTACAAAATTACTGTTCCAAATGTGCCTAATACCTCTGTTGTGGTCTGTGCTGAGCGCAGGTCCAAGACTCACATCCACTGCAGGCTCTCTTTCCCAGGCTAAGCGTCCAACATAAGTTCTGCTTTGTCCGTTACCTTGGTAACCAAACATGCTTCATCTATCACTGGAGACTTTCTCGATGGCTTGTAATGGCAGTAAATGTTTATTTTTATAGTCTAACGTCGTGATATCAATTATGTATTTAGTGTTAATGAATATTATCTTTACAAATTACACCATCCCATAAGAAAGTATTTGTAGGCTATTGCACATGCGTGGCAAAACATCGACCTGCGCCCATCAGCATGTCCTCATAGAGATGCATTGAATCAATGCATCTCTATGGGGAACATTCAACGCATCCATGCACATGCATGCCTTCTATATCTGAAAATTCAGAGGCTGGATGCCAACAGAGGAGGAGTGGATATTACCACTGGAGGCAACTTTTGGTCAACCTCTCAAGGTAAGACTGTCTCCAGGGGCCTCCTGGCATCATAACAGTTTAATTTAGATGAAGTTGTTTTGGTGCCTGGAGTGTTCCTTCCTGTTAAGTGGGCAAATTAGATTTAGTGCTTTTTATTTGCTATTGACTCGGTGGAAAGAATGCCTATGTATATATTGTACATCTAGAGTCAAATTGTCAATTCGCAAAAGATTCGCATTTACAGTTTGTAATTGTTATTTTGGAGACATATTTTGTATATTCTCTAGCTTTCAAAATAAGATGACTATAGAATTATTTTCAAAGATATCAAATGATATGACAAGTTGTTTAAACAAATTTTGTCCAATACATTTTTTTAACCTGTCAATTTTCCTGATACACATGATCAGCTATTACATTGAATCTAATTATTTACAAATATTACAAACAATTGTAGCGCAATACAAAAATTCTCAGGATGCAAATCTTTGACAGATTGCATATTTCATCATGGAGGGTTGGTGTGTTTAATCATTTTATTTCTGTATGCATGTAATTTTTGTAAAATTGTTGGATTTTGTGATTATTTTCAATGCAATCTGTCTTTTTGTAACAAGTGAATCCAATCACCTTGGCCACTTCAATAATTTGAAGTGGTCATGTGCGGCATTCCACTGAGAAACACTATGCTGCTGGAGGTGTAACTCCACAACCGGCATTTCATTAGTAGCCTGTTCTGCGTTCTGGCTTGGCTAATGCAATTACTATGCATAAAAGGTACCTCTCATCAAAGGGGCCATGCTAGCAAGGATTGATACAACCAAAAATAGCATATTAATAAATAAAACTGGTGTAAGAAGTGTGAGTAGTGAATAGTTTAATTCATATCAACTTTGAAAAAGATTGATTTTGCTAGATTTATTTATGTATTTTGCATATATTTTGATACATGTTCATGTACTAAAACTGGTACAGCTCCAGTTTGAAGTGATCGTTAAACTCTGTTGCATTTTAGGTTTGTGGATTCATTATATTTACTGCCACAAGCCCCTCCATCTATACATTATGGTTTTTACTATTTTAGAATTACTAAGCACTATTTTACTTGGATCTTATCTACACTGTGATGTTTATTGTATATTTAACATGAAGAAGCCTTTAAAGACCCAAGTGTAATATAGAGGTAAATCAACATATACGGCTTGAACCAGCACTTAAACTATAGGGGGCATATTATTGGTTCTTAGGATGGCCAGGTTTAACGCGAAAACAGATAAGAGAATATTGTCAAGATATTAGCCAAAGGACAAGGACACAAGAGGTACAGATAATTATTAAACAGCTAAGTCGGGGGATACCAGAGAGCAGGAAAGTCAAGACAAGCCAGGTTAGAATACCAAAATATCACACCAGAGCAAGGAATGCACTATTGGGTACTGCAGAGACGAGAACAGGGCATTGGTGATCTATCACAATGGACTTATGTAGGTATAGTGGGATTGATGCTGTCATTCTTATACTCCCAAAACATATGTGAGCATTGTTAACAAGGCAACGCCACTAAACTTGTGTCATTATTTTGACGCACAGGTCCACTGTCATAAATTTACGCTGTGACACAGCATCAACATTTCTGCCAGGCAGAGGCAGTACAGGGTAAGGATGTCAATTGACCTGGGACCAGTTAAGGCAGGAGTGAGCAGGTACCGTAACACCAGTATAGGCACATATAAAAAGTTACACTGAAAATCAGATCTGTGTGCTCCACCTAAGAGGATAGTTTGGAAATGTGTCAGATCCAAATTAATATCCAAACAATTTAATGGAGATTTAAATGATAAAGCGGAGATGATTATCATAGTTACAGTTGACCACTGAAATTCATGTAATCTATTTTTCTTTTCCTCCAGAAACAATGAAACCTACAGTTATGGTAATATTATGTATGACCGAAGGGTGGTACGTGGCAATACCTATGCTCAACATATTTTACCTGTGGTAAGCAGAACGATTCTATATTTTATTAACTGTATTTTAACTCTTTGCTTTGAACATTGTAACTGAAGGTGGACCTGACTATTCCCATGGCTCATTATTTTACAATTTACGCATGTCAAATATAAACTAAACATGTTTATCATAACTACATAAAACCAAATAAAACCATGAGCATAGGAAAAAAAGAAATAATTACTTTATTATTTGATTTTAATACCACCACGAAAAGCTGCATCCAGGCTTCTCCTACTAAAGAGTAGGTTGAATCACTAGCTAAATTTTTTTTGACATTTGTTTATTTTTCATCATTTTTGTTTTTAAACTCTCTGGCTACTTAGACATCCAGTATGCATATCTTATTTATGGATATATTTATTTTAAACTGTCATTTAAAAATGATCAACATATATGCTTACAATATCACTATGTCTAAATTTGTAGACAGAACTGAACTAGTTTGATATGTTAGAATTTCGGAGCGTGATTTTTAGCACATGTGGGAAAAATATCAGAATTTGCCTTAAAAAAAAAAAGCAGTGAATACCAGTTTCAGACAAATGTTATCATTTTTAGCAAATTTTACAATTTAAAGGAATATTGCTACTTATGAATCAACCTACTTTTGAATATCATACCGTCCCAACTAACAGCATTTTGGACTTGCTCTAGTCTAGAGTAATATTATTTTTGACCACATGGAGGCAGTTGGTATTACTGTTTTAAGCAAAACACGTTAAAAAGTGAGAATTCAAGGTGAATTTCAAAATTAATGACATAGCTGAATGGAAAATATAGTTGACTTGGGGAATTTTTCCAGTTTGGCTATTTTGACCTAAATTTGACATTCATTTTAAATTCTCACATTAGTGATTAACCCTTTTAATCTTTAATGATAGTCGAATTTCTGTATGTTCTGATGGGAGAACTGCCAACAAACTCTAGATTCAGAGATTAAAAAGCAGCCCCTCCTCCTGTTTTTTTCAATTCAGCCTATGATGATTGGCACAGAGATAAAAAAGAAAGGCTGTACTTGCATATCTGTTATTAGGTAAAACCACCTCTGGGCATCTCTCCTACTTGCTTTCATTTAAGGGAAAGCAGTGCCTGTAAGGGGAAGGAGGGACAGGCTCTGCATGAGAGCAGCCAGCATCAGCAATGTGAAAAGAAAAAGCCATAATTCATTATTGCAGCAGTTTTGGATAGGCAATTAGAGAATAGAGAGAGAGCGAGAACAGATATGTATTATTTACATACTATAAAGCATAGAGGACTTTTAACCTGTTATAAGAAGCAAGCCTGTGCTTCCCAAGCAGGGGTATGCAGGAGAGGTATCTTTTACGGCAAATGCAACACCCACTGAAAACTGCTCTCGGCAGGAGTTAAGGTAATGTAAGTAAATATAAATAAATACACGCTTTTGATAGTACTAAAGGAACACTATAGCGCTAGGAATACCGTGAAAAGTGTGACAAAGCGTGAGGATGTCCAGCATCATTTCACACGAGACAGTCACTAGAGGCAGTCTTAACTCTTTAATGTAAATGTTGCCATTTAAGAGAAGAAACACTTAATTGTATAACACGAGCAAAGATACATGATCAGAAAACCTATGCCTGTTAAGATATGTTCACTTTAATAAAAAAAACATAGGTTACAAGTTTAGTAACAAAATGGTTTAATAAATCACTAGTAAAATCCAAAATAACACAGTAAACATATGTCTTGCAGTTGGGTGTAAAAAGGTTTGGTTTTGATTGTGTTTTGTCTCTTACTCACCCAGTTGCTATTTTTGGTTAGGTTTTGTCATTTCATGAAATGTATGCTTAAATAGCACTAATGGACTCTGTTTAGAGATAAGGAAATCTGCCTTTCTTGGGCTAACATAGTTACATTGCTCTTTTTCTGATATCATTTCACAAGCATGTTATCCTAATGCTGTAGTGTTCTCCCTAATTTAATTAGAGGCCACCCTAAATGAAATTCTAAAACAGTGTTTGACTTGCCCTTTTTTCAGTGCCAAGACTCACCTTGTACCACCTCCCACTCCAGTGACGTCTCACAGACAGACTCTTCTTTGTCTTCTTGTCCAATCTCATGCTTCTTATAGAGAAGCAGTGGTGATGAGAAGTGAATGTGGGGCAACTGTCATTCGACATCCTCATGCAATGCGTAAAGATATTGAATGTTACATAAGCACGCCTGACTCAAAGCACCTCTACTGGCTGTCCAGAAGACAGTGGTCCTTTAAACTTTCCAAAAATAAAACCTAAAATACATGCAACACTGTTAATTAAAATGTAGCAATATTAGGTGCACTCACCTTTGCAGAACTGTAATCGTTACTAGTTAATGTAGAAGACTCCGTACCTCAGCTCAATCAGTTAGTGATACTTTAAAATAATCTAATCGTGGGAAAAATCCATATATAGTGCAGACTAGACTTGTGATCAAAACACTTTCAGGTGCTTTGAATGAATTAAATACCTGTTAATTCAGGATTGCCTCACACGTTTGCCCATAGATTAACAGGCATTTGATTAATTCAACACGCCTGAAAAGGATTTGTGTACAAGGCTAGTGCAGACTGCTAAAATTAACAAATACTGCTTAAAGCGCTACGGAATCTGTTGGTGCTATATAAATGGCAATAATAATGTCAGGGAAATATAAGGATTACAGAGAGCAGCGAAACCGAAGACAAGATATAACGCCGTACTAGGAAAACACAAAGAAACACTATAAATGCACTATAATGTCAGACAAGCCATGAATGGGCATCATACCAGTGGAGTAGTAGGTTTATATAGTTGGACTCGGTGGTGTCATTTCTATGTACCCCAAAACATATGAGTGCTGCAAAATTGTGAGCCAATTGACTCGCTGTTGCCTTCAGAATGGCGCACGTATGAGGTATAACAAAAGGGTTTTAAGGCGCAGCATTCTGTGTCAAAGTTTGCTCGAATTGAAGGACTGAAGGAAGGGTTTTTAAAATAAGGGTGCAGGAATGAAATGGCAGATGTTCACGCTAGTGCTGCAGTTTTTAGTAGGTAATGTTACATTTTATTATTTATTGTCAATTAATGTTCTCGTATTTATATACTCCTATACATTATATTATACCTCCTTCAGTCTGCACAACCAGACCCTGTGGAGCTTCAGAGACAGCAAGAATCCCATCGACGAGCTTTGGCAAAGAAACGAGCCAAGGAATTGCTGAGAGCCAGATCACCAGAGCCTGTAGAGGGCCGCAAGCACGTTGATGTACAAACTGGTATGAGGCAAGATGGGGACACTATGCTTATTGTTTATGTATTTATTTTCAGTTTCAGCTTATTTTTATTAACAAATGCATATTGAATACATATTCACAAAGCTGGGTGCTAGATTCTGTTAAAACTATTATGTAATAATTGATGAGACGAAATCAACACTCACACGAAAATTCAGATTTTATATCTTAGACGACTATTTCAAACACATTATTTTTAAATGGAAAAAAGATGGAAATGTGATCACCACTCATGATCATATTGTGATAAACCATCATACGCCTTATTGTCCTCTGCATGAAAGAAGAACCCAGAACAAATAGTGGTAGAAGATACAGTTATGATAAAATTGCAGTGTTAATAAAGCAGATTAGCTTGTTTTTAACCATGTACAGGACTTATGTTTACTGCGAGATAAGTAAGCAGTATGTTTCTTTATATGCTGTTAGTAGTTTTTTGACTTTCTATACTTCTAGAAATATTTCTACTGAAGAGATGAATTGAATGACAGCACAGTGTAAATTTTTATTCCATCTTATCTTTGTTGTAATCCTTCCCAGAGTTATACTTAGAAGAACTCAGTGATCGGATTGAGGAAAAGGACATGGAATGCCAAACAGATGCCTTTTTGGACAGACCTCCCACACCTCTCTTCATACCTGCAAAAACTGGTGCTGATGTTGCTACCCAGATTCTGGAAGGAGAAGTAATGTATCTCTAAATAGAAAATATACTTCTATTTCTTATAATATGCCTTAAGGCTTCAAAAGCTTTCAGTTTAACAACACACGAGCATACACCTAAATGCCACCCAGGTCATAACAAATTAACATTGTGAACATTTTATGCTGGAGTGAATTAGTGAATTGTTAAAAGGACACCCTAAATAGTATAACTATTGTAGTTTAATTGCCAAAAGAGAATTGCCGCATTAATCTTGAGAGGGATGTAACAAAAATCCAGGGTCTACCTCCCCCTCTTTGACTGCATTGATCATACGTAATTTACAGTTCCTATTTCACAGCAGCCCTTCTTTCAGGAAGGTATCCACCTCTGCCTGCAACGTGATTTCTAATGCCGTTACAAAGGTACAGCTCTCAGTCCTAGATTTTTCCCAGGGCCAGAGGGATCATGCAGCCAGCCAATCGGTATGACAGCTCTGTGGCTGGGAACCCTAAAAATCTACACAGGACATAGTTCCAGAAGGAACTAACATACTTTATTTTAGTAGCCCATATGTCCATTACATAAAGCTTGCTGTGACAAACTTAATAAAATACAAATAGCCAAAACATGTTAGAAAACATAAAGGAAATTATAATACCATAACAACATATTTACAAAGGGGTGGGGAAGACAATATTTAAAACAAATTATCTCTGATGCCTGCAGAATTAGCAATATGCAAATCTACTGGAATATCCAAATTACCAAGTCTAGCTATTCAGGTAGTGCACACAACAGTTGCTACTAACAGATGGCACTATACAAACTCCACAGTCAAATCCACCTAGTTGGTAGCAAGCATCAGCAGAACAGGAGACAACATTTAACAATAAACACATACATTATCAACACCCTGCACCCACAATGGGTACAGAGTGACTTAGACATAGGAATAGTCCAGGGTCCTACATAAAGTGTTTGTCTGAAACTCCTGGTGATGGTGACTACCGTCACACACAATAACCTCAATATCTCAGCTCAGGATGGTCCTTACTCCTTGGACCAAAAATGATCTCTAGAGCACATTACATTACAATGTACATTTACATTTTACACATTCGTGTTCCTTACACTTGGAACTTAAGTACTAATATTATACTCAAGATCTGTGAAAGTTCAACTTTTTGGCTCAACTTATAATGGGAAGGGTTTGAGTCTCAGTCAGGGACGTATTAGCCGCGAGGCAAACAAGGCATTTGCCCTGGGCGGCATTTTTCAGGGGGCGGCAAAAAACGCCGCCCCCAAATGCCCAGGGCAAATGCCTAGTTAGCCTTGCGGCTAACTGACATACCGGATGCTGGGCGGCGCTGGCCGGTGGTCGGGCGGGCGGCTGACGAGGGAGCTCTTCCTCTGAGCTGACTGCTCAGCTTCCTCACGTGCCGAGGCTGGGAGCCGGAATATGACGTCTTCTTCCGGCTCCCAGCCTCACTCTGCGGCGCGCGAGGGAGCTGAGCAGTCAGCTCAGAGGAAGAGCTCCCTCGCCAGACGCCCGCCCAGCAGCCCGACCGGCAGCCACTGGACCACCAGGGAGAAAGAGACCTTCCCCAGCTTTCCCAAAGGGGGGGTTAAATAAAAAAAAAAAAAAAAAGTGTTAATGTGAGTGATTGTGTTTGGGTCTGACTGTGTCTGACTGTGTGTCTAACTGTGTGTGTTTGTCTGTCTGACTGTGTGTGTTTGTGTCTGTCTGACTGTGTGTGTGTTTATCTAACTGTGTGTGTGTGTCTGACTGTGTGTGTGTGTGTGTGTATTTAGAAGGTTGGGTGGGGGTGGCGCGGGGGAAGGAGGTGCCTGAGTTTTGTCCTGCCTAGGGCAGCACAAAACCAGGATACACCACTGGTCTCAGTCCTAATGTTTTGTTAATGGGTACCAAAGTAAGTATAGTGTGCATGAATAACAAGGTTTGAGACTTCTTCTATTTTATTTTTATGTGGGTGAGTGCAGTTTTTTTTTTAACACATCCCCTCACTTTTGGTTGTATATCTCTGGTTGGGGAACAGATAGGAGCCTGAAACTTTCTTTGAGTTTTGAATTTGAGATTCCACAGGTGACCCAGCTGGTGAAAAGCTTACTTTATTCATGCAATTTCAAAAATGAACAGACTTAAAATAAGAAAAACCATTAATAAAAATGAACAGTATTTTACAGATATGTTTGATTGACATACAACAGTGTATGCTTGTCAATGAGGTCTGAAATCTTACTACATTTGATATTGGTATATTTGATATTTAGATAAAAGTTTTTAGTTTTAAGTAACCTAAATTCATTGTATGTGAAGTTTAAAAATTAATTTTAAAGTTTTGTGAGCTGAGCCAGCCAAATGCTGTGTGCAGCCAGAAGCATTAGGAACACACTGTCTGTGTCTGCACACAACATCAGAACTTTTAGTCTGTAAAATAAACTACTAAGACTACATGTTAGGCAAGCATTACCAGTGTCCAGGTATAGAGACCTTACTGCATATTCTTGTAGAGTCCAACGAAGATGACACTTCCCGATAAACTCACCTTTAAGCAGTGGGTTGTGACTGATGGAGTAGATATGACCACTTGTTGTCCTATCTATGGATGAATTCTGGCTGAGAAACTCATTATGTTAAAGATATGCCATTTCATTCCTAATGCTCCGTCTCAGTCCCTTAAAGGAACACTAGTGTCAGGAAAACAAACGTGTATTCTTAACACTATAGGTGTGAAAGCACATTTTAGGCCTCGGCCCATTCTTGACCCACGTTAAAAGGTGATTTTACTCCCCTTTCCCCAGCGCTGTGTGGATCTCACTTTACTCCTTTTGTTTAATATTTCAACAAAGGGGAAGGAATTAAGAGCCACAGTGTTTGCATCACAAGTGTTCATCTAGAACAAAATACAATAGCTGTTCACACATTGCAAAATAAGCCATTGGAAAACATAATTGAAACTCTCCCCGTAAAATCAATTTATTTATTTTAATTTTTTTCGGTGGACCTGCAAGTCAATATAAAACATAAAGAATGTTGCCTATTTGTGCAATCATGAGAAGGACTTTGGTATAAAGGCCGAATGGAAATCCTTTGCAATGCCCCAGGGCAAAAATGCATATGTTGGGGTTGGTGGAACGACTAAGCGGGAAACAGCAATAGCCAGTTTGCAGAGGACAACTGAGGATCAAATCCTCACCCCTAAAGATGTGTTCCTTTTGTTTTGTTTTTTAACAAGAAGATTTAAGGGGGTTGCATGCATTTCTGTAAAAAGTGAGGAAGTATCTGACCTTCATGAACTGAAACTGTAGGACAGGCTCTGTAAGTGTGAAGAATTCTAGGTACAAGAAATTTCATAGTTTTGAGTCGTTATCCGATGCTTCTTTACATTTGCATCACAAGAGTTTAAAGAACATGGAGTGGGGTTGGCGTGGTTTCACGATGGAGCTGCATTTACATGCATCCATAAGTTCCATTTTCCATAGCAGAGAACAGTAAGCACAATTCTATCAAACCTCGGTTCTTGTACCTGACTTACTGGCTGATAGTACCAGATGTCCTAGAGGACTCAAGCAAAACTGCCTTATTTCTGAACCAAACATCTGCTGCCAAAAATATTCAGCAATGCAGAGCAGGCCCAAGATAGTGCCTCACCAGACCTGGGAGAATACTCAGAGCCTTCTTCTCCAAGCTCCCTGATAGATGCCCAGCCAGTCACTAATATAGAAACAAAAGCTTTTAGTTGAATTATCAGCCACACTACCACCATAACGCTCCAAACCAATCCTTGCGCTGAGTAATGGAAAATAAATACATGATCAAAGCCAGTGAACAAGTCACAGAAGATGGATGAATTTGCATTGGAACACAGTTGTCTTGCTCTGTTTGCTAGACCGGGCAGTATAGAGGCAATGATCAAAACGCCAGGTGACATCTCTGGCATTACTCCCTATACAGGTCCAGATTATACTTCCTATTTTACTATGGATCTTTCCACTATAAGACCACCATGGCTCTGTAGACGCTCTTCCACTGATGGGAGCATTAAGTAGTGACTGCTCCACCTGCTAGACTGGAGGAGTGAAATGCTGCTGAGAACACTCCGAGCCTTCATCTCCAAGCTCCCTGATGTATGCCCAGCCAGTCACTAACATAGAAACAAAAGCTCTTTAAGTTGAATTATCAGCCACACTCACTACCACCATAACACTCAAAACCAATCCTTGCGCTGAAAGACTGGAAAATAAATACATGATCAAAGCCAGTGAATAGGTCACAGAAGATGGACGAATTTACATTGGAACACCGTTGTCTTGCACTATTTGCTAGACTGGGCAGTATAGAGGCAATGATCAAAACGCCAGTTGACGTCTCTGGCATTACTCCCTATACAGGTCCAGATTGGACTTCCTATTCTACTATGGATCTTTCCACTATAAGACCACCATGGCTCTGTAGATGCTCTTCCACTGATGGGATCATTAAGTACTGACTGCTCCTCTGGGTTTCCTGAGATGTGGTGGCAGATATTTATATAAGTGCTTTGCCTCTTGGACTGTCCTGGTGCATTGCAGCGTGCCACCGTAGCTGCTTTCCATGGTGCTGTTCTGTTATGTTTGTGTGGGGGGGGGGATACCTTTCATATAAGTGCCTACAAATCCATAAATGCATGTGCCTTGCCGCGTGCCTGTACCAAAGATCTAAGAAGGCACTAGCTTACACCAGGCACTAGCTTCCTAATGACTTAACTGGGTTAGTGGTTCTAGGACCTCTTTCTTGTTTTCCCTTCTTTTCTCCCACTACCACTCACTTTACCTGGACTGCCATACCCCTAATATTTAGAGATCCCCATGGATTGGTTGCCGTCTGTCTTGGGTTTGGGGAGTAGCTGGACTCTCTCCCATCCTGATGCAAGAGGTGCCTCTACTTTGTTAGTTTTCCTACTTCTACCATTCTCTTTCTCTCTCCTCCTTTCCTATAGCCTATACAGTTATCTTTCTCTCCTACACATCCCCTTCTTTTTGTTCTATCCTCCCCTAATAAATTACAGCCATGGCTCCTCCCCTGAAGACTCTCACATTCTATAGGATTATTGCACAGGGTCTTAACTCCCCTAACAAATGGCCAAGAGCTCTGTGTGAACTCAGAGCCCTGCATGCATGTGGTGTTTTATCAGGAGATACACTTTCATTAGATATTACCCAACCAGAATTTTCGCCAACAACCCAGAGGCTACAACTAAGTGAGTTGCAATCTCATTTTCTTCAGACACCCCCTTTCAGGTAGCGCATGAGACCCAGAGGGAAGATACCTTTTTGTTTATAGGGAAGATTCTAAAGACCTATAGGTTTGCTAATATTTACCTCCCAAGTAGTGGGCAAGACTTCTAGAGTATTTCAGTAAGGGCATCACACTAGCAGGCATCTGAACGTACAACTTGACCCAAGGCCTGACACTTTCTCGGATGTATCGCATATATCTGGCTAGGCATTTCGTGGACTCCTATACCCCCTCTGTCTCAGCAATGTACGAATGATAGACGTAGCACTATAGAGGACTTTAACATAAGTCGACTCTGCTCTCTGTTGACATGTTTTCACTTCCACTAACTCTCCCGCTTTTTAGCTCGTTTACCTGTCCTACCGACATTGCTCCGATCCCCAACCAACTTTAAGTCATTGTGTCTGCAGACCTCTCTCCCTGCACATGATCTCTCTTCTATACGCAGGCCTGATCTCGCCCTCCCAAGACGCCCCTTTTTGGTATAGAACACCAGAGAGAATGGCTAGATATACATGGGACTAGGATGCCGAGTGCTGGCAGAGGGGGCTTGGCACATTGTTTCACTTATTGTGGGACTGACAAACACACCCAGGTACACAGGTAGCAACAGGTACACATCATTCTTGCTACTCTTACAGGTCACCCCATTTCTCTAACACCTGAACTGTATTTGCTCCATAATCCCCAGATACCCATTAGATCTTACTGCAGGTCAGTACTCCTGTTCTTGGTAAATTCCGCCCACAATCTCATACCAGAGATTGGATTGCCAGAGTGGAAGACATTTAATCTATAGAACTATGCCAGAGGCACTTTGCAGCGATACAACGCTGTGTGGTTCCACTGGATGCAATGGCTGTCCTCATGGGTGAGCTAGGTATGTGCAGATGTCTAAGAGTTAATTAGCTGTTCTTCATTCCCCATGGGTGCTCATTGGCAAGTGGTTAGCTTCCTGCCCACACCTCCCGCCCCCCCCCTTTTTTTTTTTTCCCCCTCTTGCCCGTTCTCACCCTCCTAACCCCTTTTTTCCTTCTCTCTTGTCGCACCTTTCTTCCTTTTAACATTTCTGCTTTTGTCATTGCCTTACCTTTACCATACATGGGCAATATCTACCTCTGCAGAGCCAGCACATCCAAATACAGCCCTGGCCAATCAGCATCTCCTCATAGAGACGCAGTGAATCAATGCATCTCTCTGAGGAAAGTTCAGTGACTCCATGCAGAGGGTGCAGCACTGCCCCCAGGAAGCACCTCTAGTAGCCATTTGAGGAGTGGCCACTGGAGGTATCCCTAGGCTGTAATGTAAACACTGTTTTGTTTTTTTTCTCTAAAAATACAGTGTTTACTTCAAAAAGCCATAATACAATAAGTTGTAGTTTTTTCTGGAGACTGTAGTGTCCCTTTAGGATATTGGACTTAACTACACTGTATATTCTGTGTGCTATTTTGATGTTGTGTAATTATGCATGAATACTGCTGCTTCTATAAAGCTTTTGAGAAAACAAAAATGCTACCACTGAGGATAAATTTTTAGTGAAAAATTGAGATTTCTATCTAGTCTTCCACCAGAGATGATCAACCAAAAAGTGAGGAGAACTGTAAAAAGACAGTCATCCATATACAAGAAAAAAAGAAAAGAGGAGTCTCAGACCTGAAATGTTCGGCTGTACACTACCATACTTAGATACCCATTAAAAAATTAAGACTGAGATTCAAACACTTGTATTAAGAACCTCCACCATGTGCCTTAAAATAAAAAATAAAAGCTTTACTCACCTTTTTCCAGCACCTGGCTAGTGACCCCATGCCATGGAGGAAGCATGGTAAACTACTGATGTTTCCATAAATATCTGTATTACCTGCATAACCTGTATAACACTGTCTAAAATTTGCTATGCGCAATGACACAAAGATGGCAACATTAAACCAAGTACTGTAAAATAAAAAATAAAAACCTGATGGGTTTTGTAATTCCAATACATAGAGTTAATCACTCAAATAAATAATTAGGAAAATTTTAAATGGTAAAGCAACCTAAATTAACAATTGTTTTACTCCCCACATCCACACCCTAACTATCCCACTTCATCCCCAGACTAAAATCATTGGCTTTTTTTGTTTACAGAATTCTAAGCTGGCTTGTCTGTGCTTCTGTTTACAGCTTTTTGACTTTGACCTTGAGGTAAAGCCAATGCTGGAGGTTTTGATTGGGAAGACAATTGAGCAGGCTCTCCTGGAAGTAATGGAAGAAGAGGAACTGGCAACGCTGAGAGAGCAACAATGTGCCTTTGAAGAGCTTCGTAACGCTGAGCTTGCTGAGGTGCAGAGGCTGGAAGAGCAAGAGAGACGGCACAGAGAGGAAAAGGTGTGATTTGTGTAACTTACTGATTATTTTTTGGGGGAGGAGAGGGGATTTTATTCATGTTGTTTTCACTGGAATCTAACCATCCCAAGAGAAGGTCTTCTCTTGCGTGCTTTCTTTCACCCATTTTAGACCCTTCTTCCAACCTCTGACCTCTCCAGATCCCTATGTATAGTATAGATATTTCAGATACCTTTGCTTACTTCAAATTACATTTCCAACGTCTTGTTTTGTGGTGCATTTGCATACTGCAATGTGTTTGTCTTAAATATAGATAATTAGCTAAATAGCTATGTCTCCCACAATTTGTTTTACATTTTATTTATTTTTAATATTAACAGACCATTATAATGACATATATTTTATATATGTATTACAGTGCATAGGTGGCTGAAAATTATTCTCTGGTGAGAACCACATATACCTATACAGATTCTAAGCTGTTTATTGGAGTAAATTATTAGAAATGGATTCACCGATATATTGTCTGTTCTGTACTCCTGCCTCCTTCTTTATCTCTTCAAAGCTATTGTTCCTTCCTTCAAGCATCTACATAATCTTCCCCAGATATGTGAGGTCTAGAAGCTAAGAAGAATATGAATATATATATATATATATATATATTTTTTTAAATTGTTTTTGTTTGGTTTTTTTTGTTTTTTTGCTACACCACCACTGGTGCCACACTTCCCTGACTTTAAATGCACATTTTGTTTCTGGACCAATTTCTATGCCTTTCATTCCTTTTTCAATTTATTATAGAGGTAATGCTTAAAAATATATAAAATGTTAAAATAAAATAAAAAATACATCATAAAGTCAGAAAAACGTTAGCTTAATGAAGCAGTTTTGATGTATAGATTATGACTCTAAAGTCTCACTGCTCAATTCATTACCATTTAGAAGCAAAATCATTTTTGATTCTGTTTATGCAGCCATAGCAACATATACACTGGCTGTGACTGACATGGCCTGCACGAAAAAAACTTGTGTATAGAAGAGTTAAGGAAGGCTGTGTAAGTCACATGCAAGGAGGTGTGACTAAGGCTGTATAAACAAAGTGCTTGAACTCCTAAATGGCAGATATCTGAGCAGTGAGACTATAGGGGCATGATCTATACACCAAAACTGCTTCATTAAGGCAACGTTACTTTGGTGATTATAGTGTCCCTAAAATGTGTAACTTACCAGCAGATTACTGTTATCCTCTGTCGTTTCACATTCAGTTAGTGAGTGGTTGAACTATCTTGGGCAATTTATGGCCTCCAGTTGAAATCCGCACCACCCATAATGCCAACAGGCAGTTGGTCCCCCAAGGAATGTATTGCACGAAGGAGGCTTTTGTGTCATCTCTTTTCTTATCACAGTCTCTGTTCCAAATTAAAATTTATTTTATGGGAGTTACGTTTATTTTTCTCTGTTTTACTGACAAATTGAATACTTATTCCAAAATTATGTACGTTTTTACTACCACTATATTTACTGCATTTAATGCCCCTTTAATTCTCATTTTATATTGCTTTTTCTTGGATTTCTTATCTTTATTTTCCTGTTGTCCTACCATGTATCTTCATGTGTTTCTGTGCCTGTCCTGTATCCTCTTCTCCTTCTAGCACTTTCTCCAATCAATAACTTGTTCATTGTTCACCTCTCTCCTAGTAAGCACCACAGTTTCCAGCTCTTTACACTCCATTCCAGTGTTTTCTCCCACACCAATATTTTTTCCTTCCCTTACATATGGTTTATTCTTCCCACACTCACAGTGAAAGGAGAGGCACAAGGAATGGGCACCAATAGATATAGGCTAGGTTTTGGAGGGGTGTGGAGAATGTACCTGCTGACCATATTGACAGGGCTGCCGAGTGGGTACACTATAAGGGTTTGAGCCAGGTGACAGGGCCGGAGAACAGATTTGAGTCCCAGGTCGACCAAAAAATATAAGGAAGTGGTGCTCTAAATAGTTAATCTTTGTGTATTAGACTATTAATTGCACAAAAAATTCTTCTAATTTGTTACATATTTTTTGTACTGTTTCTAAGTAAAATAAAGGCATATGCAACACATATATTTTATTTTATTTTGTTATTTTTCAGGAAAGGCGCATGAAACAGCAACGTGAAATGCTTCTCAAGGAGAAGGAAACTGCAGAGAAAGTTGCAGCCCGTGCATTTGCACAACAGTATCTTGCTGATCTTGTTCCTTCTGTTTTCAGCAGCCTTAAGGAAAATGGTTATTTTTACGACTCTGTAGAAAGAGGTATTTTCACTTAGAATTATTATTTATTTAAGTTAAATTTTTACTGCAAAATGACATAAGAACGTTCCATGCAATCCTTAAAAAAGTGGTATTTTTATGGTATAAGGATGGCATGGAACATCCTTTGCTTTTGAAGCAAGCAGGGTTAAATCCCTGCTTGAACCAAGGAGACCCAGTCATTAATCAATATGTGGGGAATTATTTAGTGGTCCCTGTCTGATAGATGAGCTGAATGCAGTACTTAAAATGAACACTGCATGTAGCCCTTTAAATCAAAGTGACTGACTGATGGTGTTCAGCCGCTGTGATGCCCCATACAGAGGGAAACCTCCAGGATCTCCCTGCATGCCTCCTCCTGCCAACAACAATCGACAATGGGCTGTGCCTGCTCTCCAGCACTGATAACATGGTGAATGGCAGGGACAACATGCAGGAGCTGCAGCATGAGAGGAAGATCTACCTCTCATGCTGCAATCACTCACTAAAGAACCCTCCTTTACTGTGTGAGCTGGAAAATCCCTCTGCTGATTGTACTGATGTCAGCAGATGGAATACATCTGAGTTAGGGTTAATTAGGCTAGGGTTAGGCTTATAGAGGTAGGGTTAGTGTAAGTAAAGGGTTAATGCTGGGTTAGGGTTAATGCTCAGTTAGGATGAGTGTAGAGATAAGGATATGGTATGTGTATTGTTAGGGGTAGGGTTTATTTAGGGCTAAGGTAAAATCTATGTTGAGGTTTATTCCTGTAGTTGCACTTTATTTGTAAAAAATATTATAAGTAAAACTGTAAAAAAAAAGTGTCATGTTGGACTGTTGCCTCCGCCCTTAAAGGGTAAATGATGAGCAGTAATATTTATGAAATCATGTTGTGTTTAGGGGTTCAGTGCTTGTATAATGTGAACCATAACTTATATCTGCATGCAATTGTCTCATCTGTATCTGCTGTCTGTCAAAAAGAGAATCAACACAGAGATAATTTTTTTTTTTTTTTTTTTTTTACATTGGTAACTTATATTTAACTGTTCAAGGTTCGCAAAGTCCTAACTAGCCAGGCCTAAAATAACTCACCAGCTCAAATGTCTACAAACATTTATATGTTTGAAAGGCAGTGTTGTGCATTGATGTGTAGGAATAACGTGTTTTAATGTATGTGTGGTGGGTCAGTGTGCCGTGTGAGTGCAGAGCGCATTTCCTTTGGAAGATTAGTGTGTAAATGTGCAGAGTGATAGGGGTAACATGATGATAGAGCTAGCTCATGATGGTTCAAGGTTCAATTATTTTACTATCAAAACTTTTTAAATAAATGTGATGTATTAATTCATTTGGAGTGTTTAATTTTTTTAATGTTTAAGTTCAATCTTTTTATAAATAATTATAATTTTTTAATACAAGTTTAGGCCCAAACATGTCCTTATCAAATTTTGTATTGCATAGATGTTGAAACCGTATTCATGCCGTGGTTGATGGAAGAGGTGGAGAAAAACCTTCAGAAGAATAACTTGGGAAGAACAATGCTTGACTGTAAGTCATAAAATTTATCAAAGTGTTGTGTTCTGCAAAAAACAGAGTATACAAACATTGTGGAAACTAGTGTAACAGGCACGTTCCATTGGTAACTCTTCCCCTTTTACATATTTGTGACACTTTTCAGAACATGACTCTTGGCAAGTCCTATTGATGCACTGAATAAATTGTACTAAACCTTAGAAGGAGGAGGCTGTTTAATGTACTTTCTTGGACTTCAACCCCGCATTTTAATTTTGTTTTGTTATTGCCATTTAACATTTGAATTGACCACTCTTAACATAAGTGACTTCTTCCTCAAGTCGCGTTAGCCTGGCTACAATCAGAGAAAAACTACACCAAAATGAAGATTAGTGTTGTATCCATTCTAGTAAGTTAGTCATTTTTAGCTAGACACTTTTTTTTTTTTTTCATGTCCAGTACTTTAAAATTAGCTTACGAAAGTATCCAATTGAGATTTATCTTTCTAATCATAATAATATCATATGATATATAATCATATCATAATTATGACTTATTATAGTCATAACTATACGCACTGTGTAACAGTAATTTTCTTTTAATTTCAGTGTTAATACGAGAAGTTGTGGAAAAGCATATTGATGACTTCAGCAAAATGGAATCCCAAGATAAAGCACCATTGGACATTGCGCCACAAGCAAGTGGTAGGTATTAAAAGGTGGCAACATGTGTAACAGCTATTGTTAAATTATCTATATTTTTTCAAATAAAAAAATGTCAGTGGTATTACCATTACTTTTTTAATTTATTGTTGACTGTTTAGATCTTTTACAGTGTCCTTTAAAACCTTTCCCCAGATCTAAGAATAATCCTACTGTTAAAAATGACAGTCACTAATTTATTAACTTACCTACATCAATGCAGCATTCATTTCAATATTGGTTTGTTGGTAAGTCATGTGGTTTGAAGGGACATGCCAAACGCCAAAACAACTGTAGCATAATGAAGTGGTTTTGGAGTATAGATTATGCCTTTGTAGTCTGTTTAGTTCTCTCCCAATTAGGAATTAAATCACTAGACCGAGCCACTCCTTATCAATGGGGGCCAAATCAGCCATGGAGTGTAAATAGCACAGCACAGTTAAAATTTAAAAACTTTATAGGTACCTTAATTCAGTGGTTGCCTACTACTTACAAACGTAATATTCTAGCACCACCTGACATCTAGCCAAATCTTAAACGTTTTGCAGAATACTGCACCATATGCCTGCCTCTACAGACATACCTCTCACTCCAGAAAAATACTTCCTTATCTAAGATATCCACACAGCTCACCAAAGCACCAAGGGAGGCATATGGTAAAGATATCACTTCCTGTTTGTAGTTTCTCTGACTGTCTGCAGTCAGGTTGTGAAAAAAGCCGCTCACTAAGTATTGTTGGGGCTGAGACTGTGTGCATACTTTTGATAAGAAAGTCTTTCTGGCATGAGGGAGTTATGGCTAAGGAGGCAGGCTTATGCAGCATTATGCAAAACATTTATTTATTTATTTATTTGTGCAAATGCCATAATTAAAAAACAAAAAAACAAAAAAAAAAACAAAAAGAGCTTGCAATAAATACAGCATATTAATGAGGCCACAATCTATCAAATGCATTAAAGTTGTATTGATGTTCCTCTAAGCGGATCTCTGATTATTGCTATTTACAAAAACAAACAGTAATTGGTGAATATCATCTGATTACACTTAAAGCGACACTCCAGACCTCAGAAGCACAGTAGCTTGCTAAAATGCTTTGTGTGGGGGCATGGCTCACCGCCGAGCAAGATGGTCACATAGAATTTTGCTCCGGCACATGGGCTCCAGAACGAATGACAACCAATATAGCAGAAATCACTCCAAAATCAACGTGTCTTAGCATATAAGAACAAAAAAGCCTCCTTGAAAAACGACAAGCAAAACTTTTTCGGCCACAAACCGACAAACTTACCGAGCGGCTGGCCCTACGTGACAGCACTGAGAGCGGGGAAATCAGCAGCCACATGGCCTCTCCAAATACACCGCTGCCACCTGAAAGCCTTGCCAAAGACTTCTTCAAGCGCGCAATGGAAGCTATGTCCACCAAGCTAATTACCTCGTGGTAATCCACTGCAGATCAACTGAAGACAAAAGTCTTATGCCTCACTAATAGAGTGACCCGCGTGGAAAAGGTATGCAAAGAACTAACCTCTGCACAAAATAAGATGGCTGACCACATCCAAGCCCTGGAACACAGGCTGGAGATAATGGAAACTCGTATGGTGGATGCCGAGGAAAGGGTGTGACAAAATAACCTGCGTCTAAGAGGAGTCCCTGAAACCATACTGCCAAGTGACCTCCAAGTATATCTGAGGGGCCTCATGCACACCTATGCACCGGGAATACCTGCAGACTTGCTGCTTGTGGACAGGGTCCCCAAACCGAAATATCTTCCGGACACAACGCCCCCCCGACGTCCTTCTCCGGGCACATTACTACCACATAAAGGAGCTGGTTCTTTGATTCAGCAGAAGCAAGCCTGACCCGCATGAGGAGTACAAAAGCGTACGCATACGAGAATTCAACCCAGTCACGGCTGACCTGCGGAACCACGGAATCCAGAGGCGGAGAAACAATCACTATCCACACCCCAGAACAAGGGATAGCTCTGCTGAACGAATGGGGACTGAGGACCAAGTGACCCTCGAGTGCTGCACACTCCCTGCTCCACAATACATCACCTGGCACAGCGCAGACTCATGAACTGCGCCGCTCTGTGAGTCCTTCATAAGTCGCTAGTATCACCTTGCTAAGCATATATTTCAGCCTATTATATATTTGTTTTGGTTAACTCGTAGCTATTAGTAAAATCTCACAGTAAGTATGTTCAATTGCCACAGTCATAATTTACACAGTATATATGGGGACAGGCCTGAGCCCAGAACCTCTGACCACCCGCTAGCAGACCTTACAAAGCCACTGTGACCAACCCACAACCCATATTGCGAGTTATACATGCTTAAAAGCGCGGCCATAGCCGGGGCAAATGACTGCGGTTGTGCGGCCTGGGATGGAGTAGATGCAGACAGGGGAGGCCACCTGGCGGCCCTGATCCAAGACATGCGCTGGTCCCGGGCACTAAATCAAACAAATGGATACTGTAGGTTCACTCTAACGGGGACTGTCTCTGCGCTAGCAACGCTCAATTCTGTTGAAGCCTGCTCAACTTCACTTGAGGAAACATGGGGGACATAGGACCTAGCCACCTAACCGATCCAGCATAGATCCCTACTACCCACTCCCTAGGCCGCAACATAAGTGACTACTTCCTCAAGTCGCGTTAGCCTGGCTACAATCAGAGAAAAACTATACCAAAATGAATATTAGTTTTGTATCCATTCTAGTAATTTAGCCATTTTTATCTAGACACTTTATTTTTTTTATTTTTTTGTGTGTCATGTCCAGTACTTTAATATCAGGTTACGAAAGTATCCAATTGAGATTTATCTTTCTAATCATAATAATATCATATGATATATATAATCATATATCATAATTATTGTGACGAGACCAATCTCGCCACATTGCATTGGAGAAGCCTGGTTGCTCGCCTGCTGCCTTTGGACTATGGCCCCCTTTTAAAAGACTTTATTTTTGCCTGCAGAAAAGCTGTATTCGTGCTTTTCTGCCTGGGGTTCGGTAGATTTGTTTGAATGTGTTATACCCCAGATAGGAATCCCATGGAGCCCATTTGTATGAAACTGACTGTAAAGACTTTAGCTCCATGGCGATTAAACTGAATTCGTGTGGTCTGAGCGCCATTCACTTAATAATGTGCGCTCGGACCTGAGCTATCTGGGGATATGTTACATGTCTGTGTTTTATGTAATAAATGTGACTTTATGTATTTTAAAGTGTTTTGTGTCTTTTTGCAACCATGTGCTTAATGGAGTCTTGTGTCTATCCTGGGAGATAATTGAATTACTTATCTCCAGGATAGAAGACTCTGAAACTGGTTTGGGCCAGAAAGCCATGCTTCATTTAGTCACAAAGGACTTTTTACCAACTTTTGAACCCCTTGTCTGATTTGTGCCATTTTTGAATATGTTGTTTCCCTGAATGGATTGATTGAGAATATGTAATTTTATGTGAATGTGATGTATGGTTTTGGAGTTATGAAAGTTGGGTAGAAAGTATGTTTTAACTGTTTGTATAATTGAGTTTCCTCTCAGGATAAGGGGAGGGAATATGTGGGATGTAACTGTGATATGATTGGTTGTTTTATCGCTCCCTGTGGGTGGTCCTGTATTTGAAACACTGTAATAAAAACCAGGCTGGGTGTGCCAGCACCTCAGACCACTGCTTGACCCTCAACACGGAGCCTTGTCTCGTCTTTGGGGGGATTTACTGTATGCTGCTAAGGACTGATTGCCAGGAGTGTAAGCCGCTTGGAAGCTTTTCCTGTTCGCCTGCTAGCAGCTATTCGTATGGTTCCTGTTAGTTTATTTGAAGTGCTACCTTATTCCCTTGTATGCCGTTCGGGAGTTTGGAGCATTCACTTATTGGCGGTTCGTGAGCTTTGGTGATTCTACAGTAGCTGTGCCTGTCTCTGAAAGGGGGATTATCGTCTAAGCGGTTTTTACCCCTTGTGTGCAAAACGGTCCGTTACAATTGGTGGCAGCGGTGGGATCGTTCCCACAGACTACAGGACAGCTACAGGCGACACCATTCCGTGGATTTACAATTTGAGGGCAACGCATGTCTGAGTACAGCGACCCTGACAGCAACAGCATGGAACCAGCAGTGTCATACGAGGAGGAGGACCTGGATGGCCGGGATGCATTAAGGAAAGGCATCTGGTACCAGGCCCTGGATAATGTACAGTACCAGCGGGGTGAGAGTCTCCCCAGCGAAGAGCAGCGGTTGCAGAAGCAAGTGGCCCTGCGGATGCCCTTCCTGGGAGAGCAGCCCCTAGATGAATGGGTGAAGGAATTGGAGCACCGGGTATGGCGGGAGATTTGGCTGGAAGATGCATACCAGGCGCTCTGGTGGTATGGGGCACAGTACCTGCCCTGGACAGCCGAGCATGACAAGCCAGAGGGAGAGGAGTTTGATGGTCCTGGCTTGTTATGGTAGGCTTTTTCAGAGCCTGAATTTGGGAGCCCTACACAAGCCCGGTTCAGTGATCTCTTGGAGTGGAGGGAGAGCAGGTATGACTGGGACGACACTCACGACATTGAGCAAGACCTGGCTCACCTGGCAACCCTGGAGTGGGAACTGGAGCAGGACTACCGAGATCTCTTCCACTCCATTGAGAAGATTCAGCAGGACAGCAAGGTGACAGAGCCAGAGCCAGACCCATTCAGAGGGGACGAGATGGTACAGTTTTACTGGGAAGAACCCCAGGTGGCCGGTGGAGATGGGACCGAGGTCTCTCCACCGGTCCTGCAGGGAATTGGGAGCCCAGTCTCCATTCCCCAGCGGCAGTGTAAAGTGCAGGGAGAGGAGAGCAGTATCCTCCCTCCCCAGTGGCAGGCTGAGTTACAGGGGGCAGAGGTAGTTGTTCCTGCCCCCCAGCAGCAGAGTGATATGCCGGGAAGGCAGCGTAAAGTGCAGGGAGAGGAGAGCAGCGTCCTCCCTCCCCAGCGGCAGGCTGAGTTACAGGGGGCAGAGGTAGTTGTTCCTGCCCCCCAGCAGCAAAGTGATATGCCGGGAAGGCAGTGTGAAGTACAGGGAGAGGAGAGCAGTGTCCTCCCTCCCCAGCAACAGGCTGAGTTACAGGGGGCAGAGGTAGTTGTTCCTGCCCCCCAGCAGCCAAGTGATATGCCGGGAAGGCAGTGTGAAGTCCAGGGAGAGGAGGGCAGTGTCCTCCCTCCCCAG